TGGTAAGATATCTGTACTTTTACTTGAGTATGGCTTTCAGGTACTTTATACACCACTGGACATGGAAAGTATGAATTCACTGTTATCTTTTCAGATAGGTGTCTGGAGGCCAGAGTTAAACATATCCAAACACTCTTTCAATTCCTATCTATTGACAAACCTATATAACTTTTCTACACTATCAGTGTCACGAATCCTGTCCATGAACTTCCATCCACTTGCCACCAGAGGTCGCCCTCCCATTATATTGACTCTCACACCACACAGACTATTTACACATCACCCTGGACTACATTTCCCATGCTCCATTGCGCTAATCACAAGCTCACCTGAAACTTATCACACACAGCTGCTACCCATTACACCCACTATAAGAATCAGTCTCAAACAACCATTCACTGCCGAGTATTGTTTAGCGCTTATCGCTCATCATGTGATAGCTACGTTACAGAGCCATTTCAGAGTTTTGTCTAGTTCCTAGTTCTAGTCTAGTTACGTCTAGTTTGGTGCCTGATTGTTTGTTTCCTGATCTCCTGCCTGTCTTGGATTCTTCTATTGCCTACCTCTCTGGACATTGTTCGCCGATCTCAGACCCACGCTAGCCTTTGGATTACTCTTCATCTTGCCTCTTCTATTACTGTTTGCTGTGTATCGACCCATGCCTGTTTCATGACCACGCCTTTTAATAAAAGCATGCAAATGGATCCTCACGTCTCTGTCGCCCCATAACAATCGGCTTGATGTTTGACAAACAACAAAATGGCAAAGAAAATCTAACAGGGATACACTAAAGGAGAACGTTCAATATACATTCTAGAGGACAGAATATTACACAGGCCCTTCAGATTTAGGCCAGTGAGCAACGCCCTAAAAACCACACAAAACACCCAGCAACAGCCTTCTAATGCAATGAAAACACTCAAAACACACCAGCAACTTAATATTTTATAAAAAAAACGGCCCTATTTGTAAGGACAGTGTGTGTATATTTATATTTATATATATATAATGAGAGGCTAAAAATCTATTAATTCATTCAATCTGAATCATTTTAACTCAACATTAGAAAGAAATTTAACTTGTAAAAATTGAATGTTGTGATTTGTGTCAGCTCTGGAATAGGCATTTTAATGAAGTCATTTGTGACTGAAATTTCTGAACATTTACTCTTTATGACAAACTTGTTTACACACACATTCGCTCTGCAATAACTACTGATTTTGTTGCTTTTCCGTAAACACAACGCCAAACTGCATTCCATGGTGAACTGTAATTTCTGAGAATCCTTGTTTACCTGTCTGCATCTTCAAGGCTTCCCTCGTGTACGGTTGCCACACCTGCACAGCAAGACGCTCTTCATTATAAGCCCTAAAACCAGAGATCTAATTACCACTGCTGAAGATAATGAGGGCCAACTGGGTTTGGCATTCATTTAATTACGTTTTTGAATAAAGGTGTTCTGGAAAATCCTTGGTCCTCTCATAATGCTTTTGTGATATGTTTTAAAGGGATAGTTTATCCAAAATGAAAATTATGCCATCATTTACAGACACTCGTGTTGTTGTATGACTTTATTTCTTTTGCGGAACTCAAAGGAAGATATATTGAAGTTGTGAAGTTGTCAAACAACTCACTGATTTCCAATGTATGGACCAAAACAATTTTTTTCAAAGTATCTTCTTTTGTGTCCCACAGAAAAAAAAGGTCATACAGTTTTTAAACGACATGAGGGTGAGTAAATGATAACAATATCATTTTTGGGCAGACTATCCCTTTATCTGGTGTGTTTCCCATCCTGGAGCCAATCACCCACCCACAGTCTCTTTCTTCAACGCAATGGCCTCTAATTTTCTCTAAGTCAAACATATATTTTTACAGTCAAACACATATTTTAGGCAGATAATTACATATATTTAACATGACTAAATTAAAAACTGTTAAGACAAAAATAGCATTTCTAAAAAATTATTTCCTTTCCTACTCTTAACTGGACTGGCATATGTGAAATGCTGTTCACTCAGTACACGTGTGTATTTTTCCAGCTGTCTGTGACTACTGGATAATTAGAAAGCAGTCTGGACTCAAATAGTCACTTGACCTTCTTTTGTTACCAGACATGAATTCAAGGATGAATGGCGATAGCAGAAAAAAAGGGACATAAAAACAACATGCCATGCATTCGAACACTTGACTCAAAGTCAAACATCCAAAATACTTGGCAAAAGTTGCATCTACATGCAATGTTAGAATGGAATGAGACCATTACTTTAAAATGCAACATGAACGACTGACTAAAGTTTAGCCTTGGTGTGAAGTGTAGGCAGGGAGGCAAGGAGACAATGAAAAAAACTTTCCCAGAGCAGCTCCCTCTTCACAATGAATGTTATTTGTCTACTGCACAAAAACAAGGCATGCACTCTGTCCTTGAATAGAAAAAAGGCTACAATTCTGTACTCCAATAAACAATTCTAGCCACATTTGCATCAGTACTGAAACTGGCTGGAATATTTCATCATAAAACGTTTTATCAGGACTGTATGTCTGCTCGTCCATCTGTAGAAAAGAAACATTTCACTTTGTATCCTTTTTCAAATTTCAAGCCATGATTTATGGATAGATCTGTGGGGGGACTTGTCCTCTGAAATACACAATAAATTGACAATCACTTCCACTTCCAGACGGTTTATGAAAGAGTTCACTCAGAAGCCAAAAATTAAAGTTTTGTAACCTCATGCGAAAATGACAACAGAAATTGTTTTCCGTTTTATCATTTCATGTAAAGCGAAGACAGACTCCTTCTGTTTCATCTAAACACAAGTTTATTTGTCTAAAACAGGCTGTCTGTGCAGCCCACAACACAGAAAAAAACTTGTGTGACACATTGGTAGTGCCTCCTGAATAACAAAACATCCATCAATGTCTGGTTTAAACAATATGGGTTTCATTAAATGGCTGCATAATTTGTATAATTAGTTATAATTTATTGCCCCTTGAGACATAAGATCAAATGTTTCACAACTTTATTCAAAATAGCAACTTTCTAAAAAATAAGTTTACACTTTGAAATCTGAGATGATCAACAAATGCAGATATTCAAAACGAAATACTTCCAACCAGAGGCGTCATGCCCATTCAAAGTGAGGGAGGGGGGGGATGGATTTTGAATGCAGCTTCCAAAAGACAAAAAAAAATAGCTGAATAATATTTGTAATATTTGTACGTCGATCACATCACCAGCTGCTAAATTCAAATCTGCGTTCGCTGACTGGCGCTGAACCAGAGACAGGCGCGTTTTTACAGCACTGCGCATTAACCAATCACACACAGTGCTGTTGAGCTTATGAATGCAATGACCAATCAGAAGTGTTCAGATGAGTCATCGCTAAAATGCCGGTGTTTTCTTTACTCGCTCGCTGACTGGCGAATTCTCTCATCAGAAACAACAAAGTGCAGACGTGTGTACGAATTTGTAAGTTAGATACTCATTTCACAGTGTAAACAGCTTAAGTGATTTTAATGGGAGTTTTTGAGAGTGCTTGAACTCTAAACTGAAGTCAGTGAAAATGTTTTTTTGATAATGTAAATGTTCTTTGCTCTCTTTCTGTACAATGAAAGTGTTATGATTTTAACCTAACTTACAATGTTTTTTATTAAATTCACATTAAATACAAAGTCAGTCGTACTAAAAATGTATGGCATGACACCCTTTTACTTAAGTAAATAGACAGGTTTTTATGCATAGTTATAGATTACATTATTAGGCTACTTTGACCATCGCCCATTATAGATCAACATAATCTATAAAGGTGAAAAATGCAACTATTTACACATATTTGAGACCCGAGATAGACTCGAATTTGAGCCAATTTCAAGATTTAGTGAACACGTGTGGGATTTTTTCGAATAAAAAGGACAAAATAAATAAAACATAAGTGCTATTGTGGCTGCTGTGTGTCAAACGAATCCCCCCCCCCACTCGTGCCCCCTCAAAAATAGTGAAAACATGACGCCCCTGCTTCCAACAGATTCAAATATAAAACTCGGGATATGTATAAATGTATTATTAAAAGAAACATTACAACTATTTCCTTAAAACATAAATAATGGAATTCCAAAAATGCTGCTCTTTTTTAAGTTTTTAAAGCTGTCTGTCCACTTTTTGTCAACAGATATTAATGAAAACATTGTAATCAAGTGAATCAGACCTCAAATGGAGGGTCATTTTTCCATATTCCACCTGTTATGAGCTCGCCATTATCTGACCGTTTTGAACCATACTGAGTGGTTCGCAAGAAAAACGTGAGAAATTGCTTGTTATACTCAAGTACCCTTACAGAACTTTTCTTTAATTCACACAGTTTGCTTGATTAGACAAGTGCACACATATTCACTTCGCTGAGAGAGAAAGGGACGCAAAACGCATTTTCAACGAAGAAAATGGTGGGATAGCCTAGAACGACTCTAGGTTTAATTTAACCCTCGTGGCAAAACAAACACTATTTCCAAAGAATCAAATCATAAGATTTAAGTGATTAAAGCTAGTCTTGTATACAGACATACTAAGTTACAAAACGTCAATCAAATCTTTGTACCGACCTGCACGACGCAGTAAGATCCAGAACAAAAGACAACGACACAGCATACTTTCTGATGAGGATTTTACACCTTGGAAACCGCTCTGGTTTAATGGTGATGCCACAACAGCACGGACTTTTTAACCCCCGCTCAGAGCAGAGACCACTGCAACCCGGCAGACACCTTCAGAACTGGGCGGTCACTCCAGAAGGGGCGGGATCTCCACGCAAGAGTTGGTATCTTGCATAAAGTTGAATTAATCTTACATAAAATTTAAGCACAAGCGAAAATATAAAATATGCTACATTTGGGACCCAGGCATAGACTTTTGTTCTCTGTTGAGGACATATTTCAGTGAATCTCTACATGCCACAGCTTGTCCTGTTCAGAGCACATTCAAGGCTTTTCAGAGATATCAAATGTTTGGCGGTTTGATCAGAAACACTCCCTCTCCTTGGTCTTTAAACATGACTGAGATTGACAGACTGATCAAATTTAGCACTCTTAGGAAAATATGATAATGTTTTGTAATTATCATTTAAATCTAGCTAATTTTCAAATAGTTTATCGTAAATAAACAGCTCAGAAAAATCTTATGGGGTTTCAAATCAGAACATGACTTTTTGTTACGAAACAGGGCATAATTTTCATTCATGTCTTCTGTAGAGGACACCTGGACAAACAGCATGCTAATCAGTCATTTTGGGGAAACAACAAGTCTATTCATAGTTTTCACGTGACATCACATTCTTACAGGAACCCCCACATGGAGGGCAAAAGGCTTTCCTCCACTGACCACCAGTTATTTTTATGAGGTTTGCAGTGGGTCTCGAACCTGGGTCTCCGGCATGGGAGGTGGACGCACTAACAAGGAGGCTAAAGACTGCAGCCACTAGCGTGTCTCTTGAGATCAGGGGAGTGAGGTTTACCTGCACAGCACCTACTCGCTGGCCTCCGTTAGATTCACCCCCCTAAACCTCACTCCCATCCGGGTCACGGCACCAATGTAACCCCTCTCCCCCAGGTCCTCTCCGCCACACCTCACTTTCGCTCCAAGTGGTTCTCAAACCCGGGTCTCCAGCATGGGAGGTGGACGCACTAACAAGGAGGCTAAAGACTGCAGCCACTAGCGTGTCTCTTGAGATCAGGGGAGTGAGGTTTACCTGCACAGCACCTACTCGCTGGCCTCCGTTAGATTCACCCCCCTAAACCTCACTCCCATCCGGGTCACGGCACCAATGTAACCCCTCTCCCCCAGGTCCTCTCCGCCACACCTCACTTTCGCTCCAAGTGGTTCTCAAACCCGGGTCTCCAGCATGGGAGGTGGACGCACTAACAAGGAGGCTAATCTATATTTAAGGAGGTTAAATATAATCTATATTT